TTACTGCGGCGGTATTCCGTCTCCTCGAGCTACATCGAACAGAAATGTTTTATTGTCAAAAGCAAGGCCGCGCTTATACTGTGCGATTATCTTGCAGTTCGAGTGTGGAACAGATAAGTATCAACCGTGCGATCGCGTTCGCAAATCTACGCTGCAATGTACATGGTGCGCGTCGCGGTTGTTATTGGATCGCTTTTTTGGGTGGTGGTCGTTATTGGTGGACCTCCTGAGTCTCATGGTGGTGGAGGGGGTCGTGAAAATTTCCAAAAAGTACCAACGGTAGGGTTGACCCTAGGGGGTCGTAAAATTTTTGGAATTTGTCCAACGTGACGGTTGACCATGCATGCGACACATGCGACCATCACGACGGTAGCGATCGTTACGATCGCACGTGTCAAATGATCGCAAAGTATAACCACTGCTAAAGAAGTAATTTTCGCCACGTCAAGGTCAACTGAGAATCTTTTAACAACCATTTCTTTCGTAACCCCTGCAAATGGGCTCCTATCCTCCTGACTTCCCATTTTACGAAACCGTCTGGAGAGGAAGAGAGAAAGAAGATCTGAAGCAAGGGAAGTACATACCGAGATATACAACACTGGTAAGATGGAAGTTGCTCAGAATTCCTATTGAAATTCGAAAATCCTCCGTTTAATCCTGGACCATCCGATCCAGCGGCTCTAATAGATCCTTTTCTCTCCTTCTTTGTTGATGATTTTTCGATCTGCGCTTAATTCATATTCTTGTCGTTCAAAATAGACTTTTCCTACTTCTTATTATCGAAGCTTGGCTGTGCAGAGCTCACAAATTTCGAGTATTCCAATATGGGGTGAGAAGAGAGGCATGGAGTGCAACATTTTGTGCCGCATACTGTTATTCCAAATTTTGCAGGGAGTAAAGCTCTGGGGTGGGTGCAAAACGGAAGCCAATTGTTCTAGCACGTTGGGAATATCCACTTCCTGCGAAAATTGGAAGTACTGTAATCGGTGCACACTTTCGCATCATTCCCTATCTACCTTCCTATTGTTGGAATAGGTCCTAAACTTCTTATCCAATACAGTTCAATAAATACTCGAACGCATGTAGAGACATATAGAGTACGTTTCTCTTCTGTAGCAGAATACAGTTCAAAAGAAATTTTTGTTTTAAGACATCAACACTGACGTGCCCATGTTTCTTTTTGTTCACCAAGCAGAAAAAGCTAATCTTTCGTCATGACGTTTTACCACTAAGCATAAGTACTGCAATTACAGGTGCAACAATGTTTTGTATGTGGGAGGAGTCGACGGCGATACTGATTCTTAAAGAAATACTTGTCCATTCTTGATCTTTGCGTGTTGTTTCCTGTTGTTG